TCACGGGAATCTTAGGACTAGAAGGTACCTCAGAGATCATCTATTCCAACATCCTCTTCTTACAGATGAGGAACCTGAGGTTTGGAAAGGGTTATGAGATTTGGTCCTGGAACAGACCTTCAAGATTATTTTATTTGACAAAGGAGATAATAAAGGTACAAAAGATTAAGTAATTTGTCCGTGCCCATACAGGATGTAAGTAACAAGCTCGGCATTTAAGCTTTGACATTCTGACTTCAAATCCAATGTTCTTTCTGCTTACACAAGGCCACATGGTTAATAAGGAGGAGAGCTGCTCTTGAATTCAGGTCTTTTCTGACTCTGAATCTGGTGCCTTCTCTAGGCAGTGTTATTACTAAACATTATCTCATTTTATAGGAGCTAAGAAGGGATACACTGAAATCAATAAAAACATAAAGTAAATAAACAGCTGACTAATAAAGCAGTCTGGTACACTAGAGTCCAAGGTCTCATCTCCCTTGACCACCATGTTGCTTATGGCATTCCAACCCCTCAATAAAGAAGCAGCAGACTACAGATGGGGGCTGCTGTATAGGCTGTCAATGGCAGTGTCTGTTTGCTCAGCTCTGCCTTTATTATAAGAAAGGGTTCTATGGGACAAAGTACCTTATTCATTAGTGCTTATTTCTGAAAATCAATAAAATGTAAAAAGAGAACTGGAGTCAAATATGTAGGTGACTTTTACATTTTATCCATATAACAACAATAATCTATATAATTATCTATTTAGAATAATAACTAGCATTTACATAGCACATCACAATTTGCAAAGAGCTTTATATTACCTCATTTGATCCTCACAACAACCCTGAAAGTAAGTGCTATTATTATCTCCACTTCATAGATGAGGAAATCGAGGCAGTCAGAAGGTAAATGACTTACCCAGGGTTACAGAGTTGGTAAATGTCTGAGGCTGGATCTGGACTCAGATCTTTCTGACTCCAGGCCCAGACCTCTTATTCACGGTACCCTCTAGCTAGCTGTCTGTAATGTCAGGATGGTGTCCTTGTCATTTCTCACTGCATTATCTGTCAAGACAACAACCATCTGCAACCTATTTATTCACTTTAAAACTCCAAGGATGTATGACTTCATTTATTCAGGGCTTCCCTCCACCAATGCAGATGCAGGTCACAACTGCACACGCCCATCTGGCCTTGGCTTAGGTTTCACCGATTGCTGTGACCAAAAAATTATTCCAAAGGGGTGAGGAATATCTATGGAAGAGCTTATTTGCTGTTATTTAGTGAAGCTGGTACTCAGGTGAAGATTGAAAAACTTCTCCCAGCTCATTTGAATGTTTTATCAGCTAGATAAAACACTTTTTATGTAGCCAGAAAAAATAAAATAAAAAACCATTCACTGCTAGCAAACCTTCTAGTGATAAGCCTCTCCAAGCATGATCCTTAGAAGACATCAACATAGAATTAGGCCACTTCTCAAAGCTTTTCTCTGGCTTGGACGGATGTACCAGAACTAGCTTTCTGCTTGGCATAATCCTCAATCAAAAGCTTCCATACCACAGTGAGGCATCAAAGAAGGACTGTGGCTCTCCATATAACAACACAAATATTTTTACTCAAAAGAGAGATCTGCCATATTGTTCTAACATAGACTGTGCTATTTTCCCCAAATATAGCCTTTATAAAACTCGAAAGCTGCCTGATTGCACTCTAAATATACATCGTGGGAAGAATGAGAAGAGAACAACACAATCAAAGTGCCAAATATAAAGACAGCAGTGATGATTAGAATGAATAAAATATTTTTACTGGAATTAAAGACAATGTTTGAAAAAACAAAAAAGTACTGTAATAAATAGAGGCAATATGGCATAATGGAGAGAGCCGGCCTCAAAGCCCAGAAGACCTGGGTTCAAGTCTTAACTCTGATAGATACTAGCTGTGACTGCTAGGCAAGTACTCAGTATTCCAAAGCACCTAAGACTACCTGCTAAAGAGAAGATGCTAAATGCATTAGGAGGGTGAGTATCCTCACCTACAAGCTCCTTATACCAAGGAAATTACATGTTCAATCCCTATCCCTCTCTTTACAGTAAATATGCACACATTTATTTGGAAATTTATGTAATTTTAAGGGTATATGTGTGTATGTGTAATTTTTTTTCCTTTTAAAAACCCCATTTTATGGCAGTAGCTTTGTATTTTAAGAAAACCTATATTCAAAATAAATGTGATAATATTAAACTAATGCAACCAATTATTCTTCAACTAAAAATAAAATAATCCCCCCCCCAAAAAAAAAAGTTCAGTGGAAAGGCCACTGAATTTGGACAAAAGACTTGGCAATGAATTTAGAGTCAGAAAATCTGGGTTTGTTCCTTAATATCTGTATCACATCATGTAAGACATTTCAGCTCTCAGTGTTCCCTCAGTCCTGTCATTTGTAATGAAAGGGCTAGGGCAGATGATCTTTAAGCTCCATTCCTATTTCTAGTGACTAAGCTGGGCTAGAACCCAGGTCTCTTAAATCCAGTCCTGTGCTCTTTCTACCACATGGTACACAGTGTTGCACTGAAAGTGGATGTGGGTGATGCAGCATTACTATAAACTTGTTTTGAAAAACAAATTATATTTTAAAATACTCTTAGTCTCATAGACAATCCTTGAAAGACCTGAGTTAAAACTCTAGTTCTTCTTTATACCTATATGACTTTGAATGAGAAATAATCTCTCTCTGGAGCTCTGTTGCCTCCTCTGTAAAGTAAAAGGGTTTAGCTAAGTGATCCTTAAGGTCATTTCCACCTACGAATCCTTTGAAAACCTCTTTATATAAACACGGCTACTGCATTTTAAACAAATAAATAGACACAGTTTGCATGTTGTCACCCACTTCAGAATATGAGCTCCCTGAAGGCAGGGACTGCCTAGTTCTTCTCTTCACATCCCAAGGTAATGAATCCCTTTTAAACAGGCTCTTATATCTAAGTGCCTGGCATAGAATAAGTGCTTAATTTGTGCTTGTCGCCTGATTTAAATTTAAAAAAAAAAACTAGATGAATAGCAGCCATTAGATTAATTCCAGCCCCGCCATTACTCTCCATATGGATAACTCCCCATAGCTGAAGAGGAATCTTAATGGCAAAAATGTGGACAGAGAAACCTCATTAGACTTTTATCTGCAACTGCTGAAAGCTTCCAGGCTAATCAAAGTGTATCATGAATGGAAAGACTGTTGGGTTAGAATCGGAGGACTTCTGAATTTAAATCTTTGCTCTGCTGCTTATTATCTGTGTGATCCTTGACAGATTATTTAACCTCTGTAGGTCTCAGTTTCCTCCTCTATGAGACATGGCCCTTCCAGTTTCAAATCCATGTGATCCAATGATAGCCGTATTTTACCATCTACTTAGAAGGGGGTAATAGAACTTCCCTCTTCCTCCCACCCCTCCAAAGGCACAGGGCTACTTCTAGTTCTTAACAAGTAGGGGAAAAAATGTCCTATCATGAAACTCCTATAGAAAGAATATGCAACCCAATCTCTTGGAAGCACTGTGAAACAAGTCAAAAATTTAAGCCATCTTTTCTATTTATGCTTTCACTCAGGGATTAGCTGTAAGTCATAATACATCAGAAAATTTCTACATGTGTACTATTTTGTGATTTGCTAAACTGTTGTTGTAAGAGAAGATTATTGGTTTCCTACAGAGAAAGAATCTTCATAAAATTTACTCTATGTAGGAAAATAGTATGGCTATTAAGAGATCACAGGCCTCACAGGGTTGGTTTGGATTCAGGAGGCCCCTTGGAGCCCTGCTGTTCCCAGCCCCCTCATTTTACAGTTGAGGATGCTGAGATACAGAAAGGGGACATGAACTGAACTGCCCAGCGTCACCCAACTAGTACTTGACAAGAACCATGATTTGAAACAGGTCCTCTGACTTCACAACCAATTTTTCTTAGTAAATTTTCTTTTTTATTTTAAACTTAACCATCTTCCATCAATCACATATATTCCAATATACAAAGAACAAAAAGAAAGCATTATCTATGATACTGAGAACCTCTTTACAAAGAGTTTGTTTTTCAAAACAAGCATGAAATAACACTTCGCCACCCTCGAACACCATGGTGACAACACCACGGTAGAAGGAGCACAGGACTGGATTGAAGAGACCTGGGTTTGAGCAGGCCTTCACCTCTAGAAAGGAAAAGGGAGCTTGAAGATCATCTACTCTAATGCTCTTCTTTTGCAGTAGAGAGTACTGAATCCCTGAGAGGCAAAATCTCTTACCCAAGATTACTCAGGTATTAAGGAATGGAGTGGGGATTCAAAGCCCTGTTTTCTGCCTCCAAACGCAATGCTTTTTTCTTAGGGAAGCCACCTCACTTATCTGGGGAGCAGTTTCCTTCTCTAGAAAATGAAAAGGTTGGATGAGATGATCTCTCGTGTCCCTCTCATTAACAGACTAATACTACTACTACTAATAGTAATGATGATAACAGTAACAACAACAGCTACTAATTACTCTAGGGTATTAAGATTTAAAAGTGCTTTTCTCACAATTCACCAACATGCAGGTAATACAACATATAGGTAATAAACAGGTAACATAAAGTGTATAAATGCGATATAAATATTATAATTCTCATTTCACAGAATGCAAAGCTGAGTGTTACCTGCACAAGGCTCCAAAGCTAAATTAGTATTGAAGCCAGGTTTCAAACATTCAAATCCACTATATCATCCCGTCTCCACTAGACTATGGACTCCTCGAGGGCAGGGACCATGTTTTATGTGAACTTTTTGCCTATTCCAACAACTGTGCTGTGTACACGGTAGGTACACAGTATTATGTGCTATGACTCTGTATCAGGCCACCCAGCTCCACTCAGTTTATTAAAAACGTGGTTATCTTTAGAGGATTAAAATCAGTCACATAAGGGATAAAGAAACATCCAACATGACTGTAAATATCTGGTATTTAGCTCATCGATGAAAAGCACTATTGAACTTACATTTTCTTTCGAAAATGATCTTGTGAAACACAGGTATCTGGTAACCTTGGATTTAAATAAGCCGTCTTTCCAGAGGTCAGCGTCCACACCATCTGCCGTCTGTGCAACCTGTGCCAAGGAGACAGAGAGAAGGAACTCAGGGAAGCCAAGGTAAAAGCAAGTACATGTGCACAGCGGCTCTCGTATGCCGATTCCAATTAACACTGGCCCGAACTCTCATGGCATCTCATTAGTTCATTTCATTCGGCACAGGGAAAAGAATCTCCAAAAGGAGAAGGCGAGCGAGAGTGTGAAAAATACAACTTCTAAAAATACTGTCCCTGGGGAAGCAATTGATTAAAGACACCCGAACAAAGAGGGTTCTAATGAGAAAGGAGCAACTTTTGTTCTAATGTACCAAGGAAGGATCTGACGAATCAGCACATTAAGGTGCTCATTACTGCTCACTCAGGGGAACAGGCCAGCAGCAGGAAATGTCCAAAGGGGTCAGAGAATTTAGGGTTGGAAGGAGCCTTAAAGATCATCTAGTTCAACCCCCTCATTTTATAGAAGAGTAACCAGAGGTACAGAAAGAAGTGACCTGCACAAGGTCATGCAAATGGCAAGTGGCAGCACAGGGATTTGAACCCATGTCCTTCATTTACCTCCAGGATCCAGGGCTCCTTCCACTACACACTCTGAAATGTTACCAGAGAGATACACAGAGTGACGTGATACATCCCTTCAGCTCTTAGAACCTGCGTGGTTAAATCAACAGGAATTCTAGACTGGAGTGTCTAGGGAGATCTAGAAATAGAACCAGCAGGGGTTATGCAGACAGATCAAAGACACAGGCTTCCTTGCCTGAAGAACCTCAGAATCAAGTTAACAGTCTTAATGTCAGGCATCTCTTCTTCCCTCTGGCTGCTTTAGCTACAATCCACAGGGTGCCTTCCACCCAAGACAAAGTGGAAAAGGGAATGGTCAATAACACTCATCTTTAAACCCCCTCACCCATACAGAAGAGGTGAGAAGGGAACATGGGTGCCCTGCCTCAAAACTAAGCAGGCTCCACATCAGGATTCAACCCCATCTAGGATGCCAACCTAACCAGGACTTTCTTTACCATCATTTCAAGGTGGATGAAAGGCTTGGACAGGGCACAGGCTGGGATAGGAGTACCTGAGAAGTCTGAAAGGGCATGGCTGGACAAGGAAGGATATTGAAAGCACAAGCTCTTAACCTGGGGTCTGGGAACTTTTTCTTTAAAAAAATTTTTTTGATAACTATTTCAATATAATTCAAATACTATATGTTTTATTTTACGCATTTAAAAACACTACTCCACAGCCTTTATCAGATTGACAAAAGGATGCTCAAAGAGAAGTGTCAAATTTTGCATTTATCAGCCACTAAAGCTATATCAATTTAAAAAAAAAAATTTCCTCAGGGCAGCTAGGTGGTGCAGAGGATAGGGCTCTGGCCTTGGAGTCAGGAGGACTTGATTCAAATCTGGCCTCAGACACTTGACATTTACCAGATGTGTGACCCTGGGCAAGTCACTTAACCCCGATTGCTTCACCAAAAAGCAAAAAAAAAAAAAAAAAGAAATTTCTTCATTACAAAGAAGATTTCAATGTGTATGGGAGGAAGTAATAAGATAGCTGTGTGTGTGTGTGTGTGTGTGTGTGTGTGTGTGTGTGTGTGTGTCTATGTATGTATCACTCAGGAAATTACTGTGGTTTAAAAAACACAAAGTTTTTTTATTATGATTATTGTTGTTATTAAGATCATTTAGAATGAGAGAAGTGCCAAAGGATTGGAAAAGAATAAATATTGCCTTAATTTTATTTTTAAAAAAAGAGTGAATTCTGTAAACTATAAGTCAGTGAACTTGAACAATTTCTGACAAAATTCTAGAACTTATTATGAAAGGAATGGCTTGTGCACATCAATAAAATGTGACACCAAAAAAAGCTAAGAACCCCTGCTCTAAAGGCACTGGTAGCACTGTGGTCACAAACGCCCACCCTCCCACCTTGGAGGGTCAAGGAGCTTTCCTGCTGCAAAGTCTTCTCAAAAGCTAAAGAAGACAGATGTCCAAGCCAGTACAGACACTAAGGGAACACGGCCCATTACCATGTGTGCCCTTCTGCCACAGCAGGCTATGAAGCTCCCATTCCCATCATCTCTGCTCCCCGGCACAGGTGCTGGCCCTTTAGCACCCTCTGCCTGGAAGTTGATATTACCCACAATTAGCATTAATAGATCTATATCTACATATAATAGAGATATCTATATCTCTCTATATATACAGCTATTTATACAAACATCTATGTCTATATATAGATCTATTTAATAATGCTGATTGTGGGTAAGATCAACTGACTAAATATATGTATATAGATATACATATGTGTATAGACACAGAAAATCTACATGTGTATATACACACATGTACATATAACACATGCATGCATTCATACCCCCAGCTGACATCTGCATTCTAACAGGGATAGTAGCGGCAGAGAGGAAAGGCCTGTGGGCAGGGAAGGCATGTAAGAGTTAAGAGTCCAAATAGATCTCAGTAGGCTAAAATAACAATGAGCTAAGATGGGCCAACTCTATTAAGATGAAATTTAACAGAGATCAGTATAAAGTCCCACAATTGAGATAGGGGTGTGGGTGTGCGTGGGCGTGTTTTAATCACTTTCACAATTATAAGATGGGCAAGGCATTACTGGACAAGAACTGGTGTAAAAAAGATCTGGGGCTTTTAATGGACCACAAACTCAACGTAAGTCAACAGCCTAACATGGCAGCCCTAAAGCTAACACGAACTTGAGCTACAAGAAGAGGGGCGTTGCATCTAAAAGAGAGGAGGTAATGGCCCTTCTCAGACCTCATCTAGAGTACTTTGTTCAATTCTGGGAACCAACAAACCAAAAAGCATCCAGACAAGGGTGACCAGAACAGTAAAAGGCCTCGAGATTATGCTACATAAGGCTGTGAGTGCGAGTGTGTGCATGTGTGTGCACGTGTGCACGTCTGGGCTGGGAGAGGTAAGAGCTGTCTTCAAGAACTTGAAGGATTGTTGGGTGGAAAACGGATCAGACTAATTTTGCTTGTCCCTTGAGAACAAAAGCAGGAGCAATGGATAGAATATGATGAACACAACAGAACATTTCCTGAGAATTGTATTTTTAGCAAAATGGGATGGACACCCTCAGGAGACAGGGAGGTCCCCCCTCCCTAGAGGTCTTCAAGTGAAGGGTAGGTGGTTACTTTTTAGACTCTACGCAGAGAGCGATCTTGCTCAGATAATTAATATTAAACCTGACGGCTTCTAAACTCACTTCCATGTAATTCTGTGGTATCCGCATGTTATGTGTAAAGGGCAGCAGATCTGTACTGGGAAGGAGTGAGAAATGGTTGGTTAGGTCAGGAAATCTGTGAAAAAAGGGAGTGATTGTCTGTGATTTTCCTAATTTCCCCAAATGGCTGCTATGCAAGATAAGGCTACAAAAAACATCAAAGAGACATACAATTAGAAAAAGAGGTAGAACACACAGGTAGCTAGACAGAGTAATAACGCATGGACAGTCCCAGTACTGCACTGCTATCTACAAAAATCTAAAAAGAACCATAGGAAGATCTCTAGTGCATTGGGTGGGTCCTTAATAGGAGATTTAAAGAAGAATATGAGTAAGAATCACAAAAGATGAGAAGATGTGAAGTAGAATAGAATTCATTATCTTTCCCTTCAAACTCTCTCCTCTTTCAAACTTTCCTAGTACGGTCTTGCCAGTCACAAAGGCTTATAATCTCATGATCATTCTCAGCTCACTAGTCACACTCACCCACGTATTCAATTGGCTGTCAAAGTTTGTCATTTCTACCTTCACAATATCTATTGTATATATATGTCCCTTTTCTCTATTCACAAAGCCACCATCTCAGTTCAGGCTCTCTTCATCTCTTGCTTGAAGAATTACAATATCCTTCTAACTAGTCTCCCTGCTTCAAGTCTCTCTCCAATGCTAATCCATTCTCCACTCAGCTGCTAAAGTAATTTTCCTAAAGCACAGGTCCAACCATATCACCACCAGTCCACACACACTCAGTAAATTCCACTTTATTACCCCCATAATTGAATACAAAATGCTCAGTCTGGTACTTTAAAACCCCTTAAAACCTTGCCATTTCCTATCTTTACATTAGTGCCCTCCATGAATTCTATGATCCACCCGCCCTGACTTACTCCATCTCTCCCAGGCCTGGAATGCTCTCCCTCCTTACCTCTAACTCTTAATTTCTAGGCTTCCTGCCAAATGAAGCTCAATTTGTACCTGCTACAGGAGGCCTTTCTTGTTCCATTCTCTAGAACATTACTCCCTAGAGATTACCTTCCATTATACTGTATACACTGAAGTCTCAATTAGTACAAATAATGAATCCCCTGAAGTGGTCACATTATTTGAATTTGTATTGCATATTCCCATTGGGCTAAATTTAACATAATTATAACTTCAAATAGTATGAACCTGCAACCACTTCAGAGGATTCACTATTCAAAATAGTCAGGACCTGGCTACATAGCTTGTCAGTCACTAAATATTTATTAAGCATCCACCATGCATCCGGAGCAAGTGCTGGGGATACAAAGAAAGGCAAAAGGCAGCTCACAGTCTACTGGGGGAGACAATATACAAACAACTAGGTGCAAACAAACTATATACAGGACAAACTAGAAATAGCCAACTGAGGGAAGACACTGGAAATGATGAGGAAGCCGAAAAGGCTTCCTATAGAAGGTGGAATTTTAGCTGGGACTTAAAAGGAAGCCAGAACTCCCAGAAAGTGGAGGTGAGAAGGGACTGCATTCCAGAAAGTGAAAATGCCCAGAACAGGGAGATAGAATGTCTGGTTCAGGGGACGGCCAGGAGACCAGCACTGCTAGATCACAGAGTTCACTAGGGTGAGGTGTCATCAGACTGGAAAGTCAGGAGGAGGTAAGTTATGAAGGGCTTTGAACATCAAAGAGAAGAGTTTATATTTGATTCTGGAGGCGATAAGGAACTACTGGAGTTCACTGAGTAGGGGTCAGCATGACATGGCAGACCTGCCTG